GGAACTTTCTCTGGAAGCGAAGATGAAACTAGAGGGGCGACAAGCAATGTCAGTCACCAAAAAACTAATGGAAATTTTGATTCTAACTTTTGTATTTTTGAGATTTTTTTATTGGAATCATTACTGGACCTCACAGAGGTCACTCCTTCAAAACTTTATACTGCATTTTTTCATTTATAAACTGTCTTTCCATCAAAAACATTTTTCATAGCCGCGATTTTATGCATTTTGATTACATCCCATAGCAACTTGACTCAGCTGTATTTATCAGAAAAAAGGATGAAGTTTTAGAGCACCAACTCAAAATCAAATAAGTTAAAAATTCCTACAAAAATTGTAGTTCTAAGCTCAAGAAGGATATAGACAGCCACCAGTTTCCATCTCAGCTTAGTAAAACATGTAAAAATGGAGCCCTAATAGCCCTTTTACTCTGCCAGGTTATTGCTCAGTTCAAATTGACATTTGTTGGCTATCTTTGTTAATGTTGTTGTGAATGAAACAAGGGTTGGGACTTGCCTTTGCGTTGCTTTTGGATTTTAGTCTCCCTGATCATATCATATCAATCTGCAATCAAAGATTAATTGTCATTAGAGATTATCAGATCTTCTAAAGCCAATTTTGTATAATTTCCTGAGTTGGATGGTATATAAAAACCATGCATGAGACAGAGTTGATTGACATAGGCACGATTGTTTAATATGCCAGAACTAGAGTTGACACAAAATTTCCTCATCTTCTTGTTGTCACCTGCAGTTGGCTACTTGGCTTTGTCCTACAAGTTAAAAGAACCTACTATTATTCAGCTTCCTTGCTTGAATGCCTTGAAGATCACTCTTCCTTAAAGAAAGTAAATGGAAAATCATAGAATAGTCTTTGATCAAATCGAATTGGGATTATATTCACTTGGGAAAGACATAGAATATGTGGTGTGAATTTAGGAAATTCCCTGTTTGAAATTTATCGTCTAATAGTCGTTTCCATTGGAAAGTTAGAAATCAACAAAAGAAAGAGTATTGTGTTATTGCCTTCGTCCATACGTCAGCTCAGGCATACAACGTAAGACTCCCGTTGTTCGTGATTTTTCCCCATGATTTGTAAATTCAATTGGTACTTTCAATTCAGAATGCGTGTTTTGGAAGTTTGGCTCTCAAATATTCTAATTGATTCTTTGGAGTCACAATGCAAAGTATGTTCTGGCTTGCTTTTGTGCTTGGCATTATGCTAAAGATGCCAATGTGGCAACGAATTGTCCACCTTAAAATACTAGTAGTAGTTCGTGTGCTTTGCACGTGATTATAATATCTTAAAGAAAGTCCTCAGGGGCTTGGTCTGGTGGTTGAGATTGCTGAAGATGGAGCCTCAGGTCCCTGGTTCGAACCTTGCTGCCAGCAAGTTGCTGAGAGTGGTGAATAGTCTGCGGGGTCCACTTCCTGCGGGACACACCTAAAAAAAAAAATATATATATATATAATATCTTAAAGAAATTAAAATTTTTTATGAAAATTTGATCATCAACATCATAATATAGTATTTTTAAATTTTTTTTATTTTTAAAAATTTATTAAATGAAAAGAGACGAAAAAACATTTCAATGTAGTTGACATGTCTGTTAAGATTGAATTGGAATCATGAATCAAACACTTGTTTATTTATAGCTTGAACTCTAACATATCAAATATTGATAATATCATGTTTTATTAAAATTATTGTATATTCATGATTCTATTGCATATAAACTACAATCACTACAATTTTTCATAAATGAAGAATATAATAAGTTAGAAAAATAAACATACATGTAATTTGAATTCTTTGCATTATGTTAATTCTATTTTTTTTCAATAATGGAGTATAAATGATCTACCACCTAAAGTTTTTTTAGCTTGTACATTCTGACAATTGAAATTTTATAGATAGAGATAATTGAAATTTTTCTATTTTCCTTTTCTTTTATTTATATTTTTAGCACAATCCAATGCGAAGCAAAAGCAATTAGTTTTTTTTTATGATCATGGAATTGGAATGAGAATTGTGGCTAATTAACAATTTTAATATTAATTTTTTGTATGTTGCAATGTTTTATTTTTTAATTGCCAACTTTTAATCCATAACTGCTATCATTATTATCAATTATTGGAATGTACTAACTCTGTCTAATTACAATTGTCATCATAAATGAAATTTACTTAATTTTAAAGCTTTTCATTTCATAACCGCTTCCATTGTTCATTAATATTGCAATACAATAAATATATGTAATCATTAGAAAAATAAGGATATTTTGGGCATAACCAAAAATAATTTGGATATCATTTTCATTTTATCATTCTTCATTTTAAGTTTACTCTTATTATAATTCTTATTTTATCATTGGAGATGACTTCTGACGTGATGGATAGACTTGGTTTGCTCAAACCAATACAAATGAAGCATTACTATATTATTGTCAACAACAATGTTCGTTTTCTCCTAGATATCAGTGATTTGGATGTTGTACTTGGTATTATTTGAGTTGTATTCTAGTTTTTTAATTCATTTCTATTTACTTTATGTCATTTTATAAATAGTTTTCAATTTTTTCAGTTCTTCTTATTTTTATCAGTTGCTATTAATGATAAGAGTAAGTCTTATATATACGGACAGTGTATATACTATCACCATTTGATTCATCACATGCGTGCAAAAGTTGAATTTCAAATTCAAATTTAGCATAGTTGACATTCATCTAACGTTGATAGTGTATACACTCTCACTGTCAGCATAGAAAAGATTAATCCTAATGATAAGAATAAATCTTATATACACTAACAGTATACATACTATTATCACCGTTTGATAATAGTGGTTTGTATGGTACTATTTCAGATTTCTTTTTTCTAGTTTAATACTATTATTCAGTTATAAAAGTGTCATTATTTTTTGTATATTCATATTCCATTGGGTGCAAATAAAAATTCTTTATGTTGGTAAAAAGTGCATAATTGTAAAATTTACTTGTGATATTTGTATAAAGATATACAAATAAATAAGGGTTCCTTTCTCCTTGTATGTTTCTCCATTTTCTAGAGAGTATCTTTTTTTTGACTTTGATTTTTTTTTTTTACAATCTCAACTAATGACTAATGCGAAAATTTTCATGCTTCAATTAAGAAATTTTGATACATATAATATGGAGTCCAAGGGTAGGTAAATAGTTTTAATGAGCACTTTTTAATTATAATTACCAATACTATTAAGACGTAATCAATAATTGGAGTGTTTTATTTCTTTTAATTAGTGCCACATTAAAATGCAATAATTCTAATTAAAAGACATGAGGGTAATTTAGGAATAACAAAAATAAAGATAAAAAAGTGCTTGCACTTACACTCCTCAATACTAAGATTCTTTTTATATAGTAACGTTTTTTGGTCAGTTGCTATTAATGATAATAGTGGTTTGTATTCAGATTTCTTTTTTCTAGTTTAATACTGCTATTTCAGTTATAAAGGTGTCATCATTTTTTGTATATTGAAATTCCATTGGGTGCAACATACAAAATTCTTCATATTGGTAAAAAGTGCATAATTGTAAATTTTGCTTGTGATATGTGTATAAAGATATACAGATAAATAAGGGTTTTTTTTTCCTTGTATGTTTCTCTATTTTCTAGAGAGTATCTATTTTTTGACATTGATTTTTTTTTTTTTACAATCTCAACTAATGACTAATGAGAAATTTTTCATGCTTCAATTAAGAAATTTTGATACGTATATTAGAGGAGATGGAGTCCAAAGGTAGGCAAATAGTTTTTAATAAGCAATTTTCAATTATAATTACCAAAATTATTAAGATGTAATCAATTGGAGTGTTTTATTTCATTTAATTAGTGCTACATTATAATGCAATAATTCTAATTAAAAGACATGAGGGTAATTTAGAAATAACAAAAATTAAGATAAAAAAGTGCTTATACTTACACTCCTCAATACCAAGATTCATGCCTTTTATATAGGGGATAATTTCAGAAACCTCTCCTGAAGTTTCTAACAATTTTATTGAGCTCTCCTAAGGTTTGAAAAATTACACTTACCTCCCTTGATTTGATAGTTTTAGTAACAAAACCTTAAAATAGTATTGACTTGGTCAATTTTTTAAATGAATACCCAAAAATTCCCTTGTGTAATGAGTTTTAATATATTTTTCTATACAATTATAAGATTATTTAGTATAATTATAAGGAAAAGTTGCCAAATTTTTCATGTCCATATCTACTATTTGACAAATAAATATAATAATAATTTATTACTATGATATGATACTTTTGATGATATTTTATTATGGATTTAGATTTATAAGATAGAAAAGAAAACATTGAAATAATTCATTTAGAGTTATGAATTTTTGGAGTAATGGCATTATCATAATTTAGTAGTGTTTTTGGGCTATTTTTTTATGATTTATTGTTCATTTTAATACCAAAAAATAAAAAACAAAGATCAATAAAAACATTGGATTACATATAAAATTAACTCGTCAAAAAAAAAAATCACTTGTTTGAATAGAAACTAGAGGCAATAGTGATAGTTCTATAATTTTATTGGCGAAAAATTAAAAAAGGGAATAAGAAGGAAAAAGAATGAAAAAATAATTTTAAAACTTATTCTAAATATAAGCATACCAAATAAAGGGAATTTTATTAAAATATTTAAGGGTAAAATTGTCATTTTAAATAACAAGGGAGGTATGTGTAATTTTTCAAATATCAGGGGAGCTCAGTGAAATTGTCAGAAACCTCAAGGGAGGTTTCTGAAATTATCCCTTTATATGGTAATGATAATGATAATGATAATGATTAACTATGTCGTCAATTCGACGTGGCTTACACTGAATATCTAAGAACTGTTGCTGGTCTTTCAATATATACTTTCTTATTTGGAATTCTAAGTATAAAACTATTAACGTCTAAACTTCGTTTTCGAATTAGTGGGAAAACACAGCTAATGATCGAGATTGCAAACAAGAGGGTTCATTAGAAGATGGCTTCCAGTTCCAGTTCTAGTTTTGATGTCCTTGAATCAGCAATCAATGAGCTTGATCAGCAGTTGAGAAGTAACGTTTTGCAAATTTCAGGCTGGTTTTCCCTTCTGAATAATCATCTACACGACCTGCACTTTTTCGCATATCTGAGAACCATCTTGATTTGCATTCACAAGTCAAGTGATACGGATGAAGTTGCGAAAATTTTAGGATCCCTCCCGGTGAAAGTTGAAGCTGCATTTCAGGAGATTGCGGGGGATCTCAACGTTGCGTCTCAGAAGAAGTACATCCCAGAATGTCCTTCGAAACTACACGATGTTTTGCATCAGTCAAGAGTAAAAGTGAAGCTTTTCAAGCATCAAATTGAAGAAGCTCTTGGCCATCTGTCTGGCTGCTCCCTTGTGTTGCATTCTGCCTCTCTTGATTATGCTCTTTGGTTTAATTTCATCTTTTCTATAGAAGGGATGCTGCACGAAATCAGCAGTGTTACTGATTCTATTGAAGAACAGAAAACAATCGGTCTTTTGAAACGTGACATGAAGCATCTCCAACACTTCTTGCATGGAGTACTGGATTTTGAGTATGGCTTCCCTAGCGATCCAAAGGTTAACAGTTTCTTGACTCATCTCACATCTGTAGCTGTTTGCATTGCAAATTGGTCTCTGCAATACTGGATCATAAAGCGGGACTCAATCGAAAAAAAGTCTTCAATAGTTCAGCTTCAGGATTTGCTAAGGAGGATTTATCCTACTACCCCAGAAGTTCTAGAATTGAACCTCAATTTCCTCAGAGCTCTCAACAAAATTTGCAATGGACCAGATGAATATTTTGCAGAATCCTTTCTCTTTTTTCTTTTGGCAATAAGAGATCCCTATCTTGGCAATCTCTTTGTTGAGGAAAGGAGAGATGACATTCTCATGGAGCTAAGTTCCAAATCAAACCAGCAGTACAATATTTTCATAGGATTACGGTCCTTGATAATCTATTGCATCAGCACCAATGAGCCAGAAGAACACAATGAGGATGTGCAAATAATCTTGTATGAAATCAAAGCGCTCCTCATAGAGGCAGGGCTTTTCTTTCCATCTGAAAGTGACCATCCATCTTCAGAGTGGCAGGAAAAAATTTGCCTTCTCCAGTCAGAGATATTCCTCAAGCAGCAACTAAAAGGAAGCACAATCTTTGTTGAGGGTCAATTTGAAGACCTTAAAGAAGTTCTGACTAACCTGAATTATCAGAGCTCTGCACTCATTGTAGAAGTTTACAGAGAGATATCATCTCTTTATCAATCTGTTCGGCAAAATGGCACTACAGAAGCCAAGGCAAGGATTTCTCTTTTTACTTTGCTTTCAAGGATTCTACTTTTCAAGGTAAATTCATCTTGTATGGAGTTACTGAAAGATAATGAATGCTCTACTTTTCTTAAAAAAGATCATATTCAAACCCTTCTTGAGGGGTTAAAATGGTTTGCAACATGTGTCACAAATGATCAACTGGACAATCCAGAGAATGTGGAGCTCATCCTCACAGGCATTGAAGCAGTTTCTACAAGAGTAAGATGCCTCCATCACACATTTCTTCGTGACAGAATCACAGAAGAGATGATCAATAAAACTATCCTTTCATTTTCTGAATTGCTAGATAATTTGATGCTTATCAAGCCAGAGCTTAGGAAGGTCCATCCCCAAATTCAAAGGTCTAATTTCCCTAAGATTTGTGGAATGGGGTTTATCGATGATCTCATAGGAAGCACACAGGAGCTGCTCAAACATGACCCTGATTCAATTGCCCTTGTGAAGCATCAGATTGAAGAGATTCACTCTGGCCTAACATTTTTGAGATCTTTCTTCATGGATATTACAGAGCCATCTGAGGGGCATGATGCACTGAAAGATCTTGGTACAAGCATAACAGATGTGGCATGTGAGGTGGAATATGTCATAGATTTCATTGAGGTAGGAACTGGTATTAATTGGAAACATGTGCTATGGCTTTATGATCTGCTTGAAGAGATTAGGCTTATTAAGATGATGGTCACCAATTCTTACGAGAAATTAACTTGTTATGCCATGACACAAAGTGCCAATCAGATTTCAAGGCAAATTGTATCACAGTTTGGTATGACAGAAATAAATGAAGAGGTGGTAGTCCTGAATGATCAAGCAGAAAATGTAATAGTTCGACTGATGAGAGGAACCTTACAGCGAGATGTTGTCTCTATTGTTGGCATGCCAGGAATTGGCAAGACAACATTGGCCAAGAAAGTTTACAATGATCCTAATGTTGCATATCACTTCCATATCCGTGCCTGGTGCTCTGTTTCGCAAGGATACCAAAAAAGGAACGTACTACTTGACATTCTAGGCAACATCAGCATCAGTGGGCTTATGGATAACATGCATCATATGAGGATTGAGGATTTAGAAGTAAAGTTGTATCAGCACTTGAAGCAAAAAAGATACCTGATAGTCATGGATGATGTGTGGGGCACTGAGTCATGGAGTGATTTGCAAAGTTCACTACCAAATGATGGAAATGGCAGTAGGATCTTGATAACAAGTCGTCTACATGATGTGGCCTTAAAAGTTAAACCTGATAGTGATCCTCTTTGTCTTCGTCTACTTTCTGAAGATGAAAGTTGGAAGTTGTTACGGATGAAGATACTTCATGGAGGCTGCAGCGAGGAACTGCAAGAAGTTGGCAAGAAAATTGCTAAGAGGTGTGAAGGTCTACCCCTTGCAATTGTGGCCGTAGCTGGTCTTCTGGCAAGGACAGAAAAGAACCAAGATCGGTGGGAAAGAATTGCAGAAAGCTTAAGCTCAAAGATCAATGATGATCCACAAAGTCGGTGCAAGGACATCTTACAGCTAAGCTACAATCACTTACCAGATAGATTGAAAGCGTGTTTTCTGTACATGGGAGCTTTTGTGATAGACAAAGATATTCCAGTAAGGAAGTTGACAAGGCTATGGATTGCCGAAGGTTTCATACAGGGTACTAAGAGCTTGGAAGATATTGCAGAAGCGTACTTGATGGATCTCATTGGCCGAAACCTGGTAATGCTTTCCAAAAGAAGATCCATGGGAGGGGTCAAAACATGTCGTGTTCATGATATTCTACACGACTTCTGCTTGGCAAAAGCAACTGAAGAGAACTTTCTACAATTAATTGCCAGGTATGATGAGCCATATGCTGTGTCTGATGATTCAGATTATGGTGCTGATTCTTATGATTATTATCATCCAAATCCTGTAACGTATGAGAGACATCGATTGTTCTTCTGCTTGAACAGAAAGCATTTTGTGAAGTCGAGACCTTCCAGCTCGTGTGCCCGTTCTCTAATACTCTTTCCTACCTGTGATACATACCCAAGACATCCCTATGATATCTCATTCATTGCTCTCCATTTCAAACTTCTTAGGGTGTTGGATTTGGAAAACATTAATATGGGTGTTTGCTTTCCCACCGGAATAGAGTTACTAATTCAATTGACATATCTTGCTGTTAGTGGTGATATTGACTCTGTACCACAATCCATTGCAGACCTCTGGAAACTAGAAACCCTTATTGTGAAGGGATTGAAAGATGAGAAGATCATACTGCCTGATACTATCTGGTGCATGGTAAAGTTAAGGCATGTTGTTGTAAACAATCATGTTATTTTCATCTCCCAAGATGACAAGCTTGGAGTTTCCTCTCAGTTAGATAACTTGGTCACATTTTCCACTCTATCCTTTTCTTCTGGGAAAGATACAGGGATGATCCTACAAAGGCTACCAAATCTCCGCAAATTGGGATGCATTTTTATGGAATCCCGGGATTCTTTAAGCGTGAAGTTTCCAGAATTGGACACTCTAACGCGGCTGGAGTCATTGAAAATGGTGTACATTGGTAGACCTCTAACTTCGATTGAATTTAATCTCCCTTTAAATCTTAAAAAACTGACTCTCTCAAATTTTCGCCTACCATGGGATCACATTTCTGCCATTGGGAAGAGGTTACAGAATCTTGAGGTTCTCAAATTGCTTTCTAGAGCCTTTGAGGGGCAGACTTGGGATATGAGGGAAGGGGAGTTCATCAAACTCAAATACTTAATGTTAGACACTCTGAGTATTGCCCAGTGGAATGCCACCAGTGATCACCTTCCCAACCTTGAGCAACTGGTGCTCAGAAACTGTAAGAAGCTTGAGGAAGTCCCTTTTTCTCTGGGAGAGATCACGACGCTGCAAATGATTGAAGTGCAATCATGTAAGAAATCTACTGAGGAATCTGCAATAAGAATTGGAAAAGAAGGATGGATTGAGGGGCTCAAGATTATTGTCAATCAAAGCATTCATGTTTGAGATCATCATAATGGTTGATCATCCTTTGTTTTAACCAACTGCTGGCAATGTGAGTATACTATCAGTTTCTTCTACAACAGACTCATTTTTATTGAATACACAAATCTTTCCTTTTGTTTGTATGCAGCACTCTTCAACAGGCTACTCTGTATAGAAGAAAACTTCTTTTGTTTCATTTCTCTTTGAAGAAGGTACAATGTAATTTTGTGATGAATAAATGTAGATTATCAATGCGAATTCAGCGTCAAAGCAAATGTTGTTCTTTACAATGGAGAGTATCAATGCGAATCGTCTCACTTCCATTACATTTTTAGGGTGACACCAGATATAGTAAAGGTAAACTAAATCAAAAGAACAGATACAGCTCAATTGTTTGAGACACTCCTTCCAATATTGTATGGTTATTCTTGTTGTTTCTGTGCATATAAAAGAAACTCCTATAAACTCTTGAGTAAACCATTACCTGCAAAAATGGTTTCACATATATTTCCACATTAATGAAAGAAGACATCTAAACAGATGGTCAAAGAATGGAAAATACTAGCAATACTTTGCAGAAGTTGACAAGGAGAATAACCCAAAAACTGTGAGGCTTCAATTGAAGACAATTCCACTTCAAAGATGCAGTACTCTCTGATTTCTCTAGTCCTTAGTCCTCCAACAGGGCTGGAATTGCAATGAAATGGAAAATGTACGATACATAAAATGCAGCTAATCTACGTAGGATACAACAACATATAGGTGAAGCGTCTTATCAACTAAATTACATTTCATTGTCTATATAGTTAAATTCAAAAATATTTGATCAAGAAAGGAACATCCAAAATTTTATCTTACCCGCATTGATTTTATATATATATTTATTGTAGGAGGAGACTCCAAGCTTTAGGTAAATCATTTTATTTAACGTTGCAAATCATTTCGTAGAATTTTTTTTTTTAATTCTTAGAACTAATTAACCGCTTTATTTTTTTTTAAAAAAAAATTGAATTTCTTCCAGCATTCCGCGAATTCCTTCCTCTTTTTTCCGAGGCATGAGCTGATGAACGCAGCCTCCTTCCTCAACCATGTCCTGCGAAACGCCACTTCAACCACCGGCCACCGCAAACCACCGCAATCGACCAACGCCAAGAACTTAACTGCCGCTATCCTCAACCATCTCCGGTTGGGGCGCATTTCAAAAGCCGTTTCCATCCTCTTCTCTTCCCCTGTGCCCCTTGACTTTTCTCTATACGCTCGTCTCTTCCAACTTTGTGCATCTAGCAGAGCCATTGTCGAAGCCCGGAAAGTAGAATCGCATTTGGTCACTTTCACTCCGAACCCGCCAACTTTTTTGCTCAATAGAGCGATTGAGACTTATGGAAAATGCGGGTGTCTGGCTGATGCGAGAGAACTCTTTGATGAAATGCCTAGTAGGGATGGAGGGTCCTGGAATGCAATGATAACTGCGTATTCCCATAATGGGTGTCCTGGAAAAGCATTGGATTTGTTTAGTCATATGCACAAGTCTGGGATTTATGCAAGTGAAGTGACATTTTCGAGCGTTTTCGGTTCATGTGCTTCTGTTTTGGCTCTTTGGCTGGCAAAGCAAGTTCATGGGCTTATTGTGAAATATGGGTTTTGTGGGAATGTGATTTTGGAGAGTTCACTAGTTCATGTGTACGGGAAGTGTGGGATGATGAGTGAGTCGAGGAGAATGTTTGACGAGATTGAGAATCCAAATAGTGTTTCGTGGAATGTAATTGTAAGGAGGTATCTTGAGATGAAAGAGGGAGAGCAGGCAGTGTTGATGTTTTCCAAGATGGTTAGGGCGAAGGTAAGGCCATTGAATCACACTGTTTCTAATGCTCTTGTTGCTTGTTCTAGTATACATGGACTTAAAGAGGGGGTTCAAATTCATGGATATGCAATAAAGATTAATCTTGAGGTGGATGAGATTGTTTCAAGCTCCCTCATTGATATGTACGCAAAATGTGGAGATATGGAAAGTGCTTCACTGATGTTTAAGCTGCCCTCTTCAAAAAACTTGATTGCTTGGACAGCTATGGTGTCAGGGTATGGAATGAGTGGGAAAATCAGGGAAGCTAGAGAGCTTTTCGATGAGATGCCAGAAAGGAGTATGGTATCATGGAATGCAATGCTATCGGGGTACACTCACTTCTCTAAGTGGAATGAAGCATTGGATTTTCTGAGTTTGATGCTCAAAGAGACTAGAGCAGTTGATCATGTCACTCTTGGATTAGTCCTGAAGGTATCTTCTGCCATTATGGATATTGAATTGGGGAAACAGGTTCATGGGTACGTCTACAGGCATGGTTTTTACTGCAATCTACTGGTTAGTAACGCACTTCTTGACATGTATGGGAAATGTGGAAATTTGAGGTGTGCTAGAGTTTGGTTTTATGCAATAAGTCATTTACGAGATGAGGTTTCTTGGAATAATCTTTTAACTAGCTATGCACGTCATGAATTGAGTGAAGAAACCATGACAATGTTTTGGAACATGCTAGGAGAGACCATGCCAAGTAACTTTACATTTGCAACCCTCTTGGCTGCTTGTGCAAATATTTTTGCACTTGAACCGGGTAAACAAATCCATGGGTTTATGATTAGGAATGATTACGAGATGGATATTGTGATTACTGGAGCTTTAGTTGACATGTACTCCAAATGTCGATGCATTGATTATGCTCTAGCGGTTTTCAAAGTGGCAGATTTGAGTGATGTAATTCTCTGGAATTCTATGATACTGGGTTGTTTTCATAACAGAAGATATGAAAAGGTACTTGAATTGTTCAAGTTGATGGAGAATGAAGGCATAAAGCCAGACCATGTCACTATCCAAGGCATCCTGCTTGCATGCATCGCTGAAGGCTGCGTGGAGTTGGGCAGGCAGTATTTTGATTCAATGACTGATAAGTATTGTATAATACCAAGGTTGGAGCATTATCAGTCTATGATTGAGCTGCATGGTCGCAGCGGATGGATGGATGAACTCGAGGATTTTATCAAGAAGATGCCATTTGAACCGACTGAAGCAATGCTGATCAGAATCTTTGATCTCTGCCAAGAACAAAAGCACTTTAAGTTGGGAGAATGGGCAGCTGATCAGCTTAACAGATTGAATCCCAGAGTCCCATTCCAAATTGGTACAGCCGACAGCACCTGACTTTTAAGTCACTAAGTTTTGTACATTTCATGTAAATGCGGAATTATTCTTTTCTTACCAGGAAATGTAAGATATAGGAAGAGAGCTTATTGACATACATTATTATTTTTTCTTCATCTTTTTGGTACCCATAATGTTATTACTTCTTGGAAATTTTGTGCAATATACAAAATCTGCATGTTGGATTTATTACTCCTGCTGTTGTTTTTCTCTCAGCTTCAACTTGTTGGAATATACACATATATAGACCCTAGAAGCTAAAAAAGGCTATCCTGAGCAATTGGAATAACCGGGTTCATTGATATTCCTGATATAATAGATGCTATTACAAATACAATCATACTCAATTCAATGGAATTGCTTGATCTTAAAGGAGATGATCTATAATATCGTACGTGAGAGGCTATTTCTTGATTTTAATGGGGCTTCTTGTAAGCGTTATTTCTATTTGCTATTATCTAAAAATAATCAAGTTATTAATGATTCGTCGAAATAAGAAAGAATTCATATTGCTACAGAAAATTCCATTTATGGGGATTTCAATCGAGATGCCTACGGATTTGTTCTCGCCTTTTGAATCGATTGGAAAGACATATCGATGTTTCTGATGGTTGTACTTTACACTTGAGAGGCATGTGCCAGACAGGAGAAGAATAAGAGTTTATTTTCACAAAAAAATTAAAAAAAAGGGTTAACAACAAAAAAACCCCTATAATATAGCTATCATACAGAAAAGCCCCTTGAGATTTCATATCATACGCGTCGATACTCCATGGTTTGAATTATTCTGAAAGTTGACAGAAATCGTCAAATTTACGGCGTTTGTCTTCAACACACTAGAAAGGCGCGTGTTTCTTGCGGGAAATAGATTTCTACCACAAACTTTCACCTGATCTGCCTACTTTACCCTTCACACTTTAACGAAAAGAGAACTTGTTCTGATCTTCGGCACCTCTGGTCCTAAGCACCCCCCGTCTCCAGGCTTAAGGCAACAGGAAGACAGAAAGCCACACTTGCACACGACACTTGATCGTTTCTTTCCGACTTGGTGCTTTCAGTCCTGTCGAAAGATGTTTTTTGATGTTAGGAAATTGGCTTAAATTCTTTTAGGTAGATTTCTTATTTTGTGTGGAAGTAACTAGTTTCCTAATTGGTTTTAGTTACTTGAAGTAGTAGCCAAGAAATTCTATTTAGTTTAGGAAATAGTATTGGTTTCCAATTGTTATTTGGTTTTTTGGCAGTAATGTTCCCTATAAATAGATGGGTTGACATACCATACAAGTAGACAAAAGAGACGCACAAGGGACACAAGGGGCATCATGTAGCCTCATACATGGGGTGTGAGAGAGGGTTCTTGGGAGATGAGAGATGGTATACAAGGGTTGGACTTGGGTTCAAGTTGTATTCTTGTATAGGGCTTTCCTCTCCTAATAAAGAACAGGTTTCTCTCCGTGGATGTAGGCTCAATGGTGGAGCCGAACCACGTTAAATATTGTGTGTCGTTTATCTTTCATGCTTGTGACTTGTTTGCTCATTAAATTGTTGTGCACTTGATGTCTCAATAGTTGTTTATTCCGCGTTTGGATCCCAACATTTGACTTCTTTGGGCTCCAAGTTAAAATGGAGAGCCTTTTTCACTGATTTGATTGGTGGTTGAAGGCCTACTACAGACTTTTTTTCTTTCTTGCGCACTCCCATGGTCAAGCTCTGGATGAAGCTCGCGCTCGGCCCCTCGGTGACCTTTTCTGTTTCATTAAGGAGACTTGTCAACGATGGTGGTTCGCAAAGTGACTTCGTAACCTTTCTCTTTAACGACAAGTGTCACTACCCTCCTGGTCCACACTGGATCTGGCGGAGCGATGTCAGAAAATCACTCGTCTTGGTGAGGCACGACTCGGAGGAAGAGATCGATCCAGCTTTTAGGGAAGTAAGGGAGAGGAACGGATAGAAAGAGCTCGTTCAGGGGTAGTGGGGAAGTGGAACAGCTGTGTTGGTTCAATCGGGAAATGGCTGATCACGCTTGCGGGTTTCAGATTCAAGTAGCTCGTTGCTACACGATTAGTCAAGTTAAGAGAGAAAAGCGGA